GATACGTCTAGTGGATGGAAATAGTCCAAATGAGGGAAGATTAGAAATATGTATTAATGGAGATTGGGGAACTGTTTGTGATGATTTGTGGACACGCACCAATGCTCAGGTAGTCTGTAGACAACTGGGATACTCTATTGATGGTAATTTTTTACATAAAAATTTTTTATAGGTATGTTTTTCTACATGTCTTTATTATACCTAGGTGCTGTATTTCTTAGTAGAGCATTCTTTGGTGCTGGGAATGGGTCCATATTATTAGATGATGTTGTTTGTTCAGGATCAGAAGATACAATACTTCAATGTATGCACCGTGGTTTTGGGTCTCATGATTGTGGACATGATGAGGATGTAAGTGTGCAGTGCTCAGAATCAGGTAAATTATAATCATTTGCTAGTATAATGACTCATCATGTTTGTACTTAGTAACTATAGAAGAATTTGTTGATAATGTCACAGTGTGCAATACTGAACTTGATAGCCAACTGTGGTCATTGATGAGGTATAAGCATATGAACATTATTTTGTTAATGATTATAGTTTATTCTTAGTACCAGTGGTAGGTGTGAGCCTTACATTAAAAGAGACTCTGAAGCTGGAGTTTGTGATGACTTTTATATTCCTGGTACTGATTATGTATACATTCCAAATAGGCGTCTTGGAGGCTCTCAGAATCTTTTAAGACAATTTTCGGAAGAACTATATGAGTACATTCCATCAATACCAGCCCGCTGTCGTAATATTGCTATTAGAGTTCTGTGTACTCACTATTACTTGCCCTGTGGTTTTAATGGTACCCTGCATGTTCCACTTCCTTTATGTCCTGATGTGTGTCGATACTTGTCAGAAACATTGTGTCCTGATATTTGGTCATTCACTGCTAGTTATCTTACCTCTGATCAAATTCATCCTGAATACCGAAATGATGAGGGAATCAAATTGCCATCATGTAACAATACCGATAAGCTAATTGATTTTTTGAATCTCACTAGTGACTGTTGCTCTAATGGACGTGTTTCACTACCACAACCAACTGTCACAAAAACCAAAAGTGAATGCATATACAATCATTAAATAAAGATATAGTTTAATGATTCCTAAGATGTAATATCTGTTTATGGTTTAAGTACAAGCAAACAAGCAAAATAATTGCTAGTTTGTAGGTTAAGATATCAGTCATTAGGGACTTTTGAGAAGTCAATGAAGTGTTGATTACATATTGTGTGATAATGATAACCCCCTGTGTTTACAATAAATGAACAACTTCTCATGCTTATCATTTTATATTATTTACTACAGGCCATGATTCAACTAGTACACCTACTTCCTCAGTTATCCTGTCAGGAACAACTACTACTATCAGCACTATAGTAACACTAGAATCAACTGTATCTTTATCAATGGTCATTCCTAGTGCTTCTTCATTTAAATCGACATCAGTTATAATCCCATTAGCAGTAACTATTCCACTAGTTTTAGTAGTAGTATTTATAGCAGTGTTATTCAGTGTCTGTTTGATTAAGAGGAAAACAAAGATAAAGCAAAGGAAGATAGTGCTGCATGAATCTCAGCTTGGCTCCAGGCCTTCATTATGTAAGTAAAGCTATTTATGTAAAAGTATAGCATGTTTTATAGACCCATAATGTTTATCATTAGTAGACAAGTGTGAGCCCATACTATACTGATACTATCATTTAGCTTTCTCTTCTATGTAGCTCCTGATAGCAGTGAAGACAACATTTATAATTCCAGTAAACGAATTAATATCTCATCAATGTACATGGATCAGTTATCAGATTATATAATATCAGGATCAATCATTGAAATACAAGAAACTGTTGGACAAGGTTTGGGCAACACTGATAAATGTATCAATTAGTTTTTACTTTGTTTAGGTGAATTTGGGATAGTTTATCGTGGTGTAATGACAAGTAGCACTCAATCGCCAAAAGCAGTAGCTGTGAAAACATTAAAAGGTTTGTCATTTAATCTTCTTACACAAAGTATTTGCATTAAAGTATGCTAAATTTGCTTTATTCTAAAAGTTATATCTGTTATATATATTCACCATAGCTTAACAGTAACAGTCTTATTTTAGTAGTTTTCATTAATTACTCTTCATTTAATGCAAGTGAATTTGTGTATAACTGTATATGCATTGTAAATTTTAGACCTGCATGGGGTGAAGTACAAAACCTGAATTTAATTTAATCAAAATCAAAGCCCGAACTAAATATACAACATCAGAAATATACATCAGATTATAAAAATGAAAAATTTTCTCCTAGCTATTCTTACAAAATTTGGCGAGAGACTCTGTACTTAGCACATGGTCTCAGGTCAGATTTTTTTAGAAAATAAAAATTCATAAAAAATCTAATTTTGATTGGAATTACCTCAAACTAGATATATAACATCAAAACAAGTACTAGTATCAGAAAAAAAAATGTGAAAGTAGAGAGTTCTTGTTAGCCTTTTTAACAAAATATTTTTGACAAAATTGTTTTCAAAATTTTTAAAAAATCCAGTTTTGATCAGAACCACCTAAGATTAAATATCAGGGCATGTAGAATCTATGTGTATCAGGAAAAAACAATAAAAGTAGAAAGTTGCAGTTTTTGACAGAATTTGGCCAGAGATAGAGGACTATTGTCTCGGACAAAATTTTTGTAAAAATTATAAAATTTTAAACAATACAATTTTGATTGAAATCAACTCAAACTAGATCTACAACATCAGAGCATGCATGTGTATTGGAATAAATTATAAAAGTGATGGCCATTTTTTACAAAATACAAAATGTACCAAGGATCTGGGTTTTCTTTAAAGCTCTACTGAGCAAGCTAAGTAGCTCACTTCATGAGCTGGCAAGAAGCTGAGCACTATACTGGTAAACCCTGATTGTCACACTTCCATTTACTTGTATACAATGCCTGTACATATAATCCTATAATGCTACTTAGGTAAATTTAGAGCATTTTTTCCTGCATCTGTATTGATTAGGTATTAGTACACTATGACAACTCAATTTTGATAAAAATTCTCATTACATTTTGTCAAGATTAAGCCTCAATTACAATTATGTTATTTCTAATAAAATGAGCCTCTAATTACAATTATAATTGTAATTGACCCCATGCAGATTCGATTTTGTCATTATCAATTTAAAAATTATTTAACTGTGCTTTTCATATTTTTACATTGTAAGCTATAATTGTTGTAGGTTTTTTTAAAGAGAGTGATATTGATTCATTACTGGATGAGTGCATTATAATGATGTCATTTGATAATTTAAATGTATTACCACTGATTGGTGTGTGTCTTGATCTTGGACCAGCTCCATACATTATCATGCCTTTCATGTCAAGAGGAAGTTTATTGTCTTACCTCAAGAAAGAGAGGCCTAATCTTACAGTAGCTGATACCAGTGAAGAGGATATTATACTGAATGTCAGGAAACAGTTACTCTCCATTTGTTTACAAGTTGCCAAAGGAATGTCTTACTTAGCTTCACAGAGGTTCATTCATCGTGATCTTGCTGCTAGAAATTGCATGTAAGTCTTTGACTGCACATTAATGTGATGTAATGTATGTATGTAGGATAAGATGTATAAATTGTTGTAGAGCTAGAGTTGCTTTAGCATCACCCCTCTCTCCCCAGATTTTTATGTAATAAACTTAATTTTTATACTGTCTAGATCTACTTGAAAATTTTTACTGTGACTTTAATTTTTATTAGATTAGAATTAAAATATTAGATCACGTGTATGATTACATGCCACATTCAATAATACATGATGCAGTTTTATTACATAACAATTAAATCACAACACAATTTTGAAACGCAAAAATTTTCTACTGCATTAATTTTCACATTCACAGTAATTTGTTAGTTGTTTAGCAGCTTCATAAGAGACCATAATGTATAAAGCATTATTATAGCCCTCCCCTGGATATGTAGTAGATATACTTAAATTTTTACTGAAGTCTTCGTACCAATTATTTTTTCTCAATAGAATGAAGATAAATAATTTTTAATAGTTCATTATCAAGGAGTTTTATGTATATTGTTTTATGTACATTAGGATTGATGATAATGGTATTATTAAAGTGGCAGATTTTGGTCTCTCTGAAGACATTTATGCCTGCAATTACTTCAGGCAACTAAAGGGCAGTGATAATAACTCAGGATCATCAACAGTTAAACTACCAGTGAAATGGATGGCATTAGAGAGTCTTCATGATGGACTGTTCTCTGAAAAATCAGATGTTGTAAGTATTCATTTTCTATTGTAATTTAAATGCAATCACTATCAATTTTTTAATTTTATTTTTATTTACAGTGGTCTTATGGTGTTCTTTGTTGGGAAGTGTTCAGTCTTGGTAAGGTACCATATCCTGGTCTGGATCCAATAGGAATAGTGGAGTTACTGGATACTGGAGGACGATTGCAATGTCCACATAATGGAGCCTGCTCACAGGAAATGTAAGAACATATTTTGTAGTGTAAATAGATACCTTTGTGCTGTTACATTTCTTTTGCTCAGTATTATGTTTTGGTAATAATCTTATGTCATCTTTATTATAGATACTCCTTGATGATGTCATGTTGGTCTGAGTCTCCAATTGATAGGCCAGTGTTCAGTGATTTAGTTTCATCAATTAATATTCTCATTGAACCATTAGCTGGCTACCTTGATTTCACTCAAATTAATAACACATGCATAAAAAAAGAAAATAATTATTATTGAATAATTATTTTTGTGTAACATTTTGTATGCATAATAATTATACTTTTAATTTTTGAAAACTTTTCAAACTTTAAAGCAAAGGCTGTACATGACTCACATCAACCTTGTTTTGTGTGGTAAAACACGCTAGGCCACGTCTGGTTGCTGCGTATATAGCTGTGGTTGTTGGTTTTGCTTCTCTTCTCATTTAGTGTTTAATACCGACAAAGTAAGCCCAAGCTTATTTTAATCTGCTCAATTGATCTAATCTCTCTTTTTGTTTTACAGGCTATATAATCAATCACATGGTCATGCACTGACCTAAAATAGATTTATGCATCAACAAGAGTAGGGAGTTGAGTAATGGTTGTGGAAACTTACAGTATCTGAATAGTCTGCAGTTTGTTGAGTCTATGTGGTAGATTAAACTAATTGCTGAGGCATTAAAAAGTAATTATCTAAAATACAAAAAGTAAATGCATGTAATGTAAAATTTTGCACTCAACTATTTGAACTTGCATGTTGACATGAAATTTTGCTCATGCATAAATTACTCATTTATTGCTTTTGTTGTAAAGAGATTGATATTGATTCTTTACTGAATGGATCTCTTCAGTAAATTTTTTCAAGTTGCTAATGAAATGTCTTACTTAGCATCATTTATGATGATCTTGTTGCTATAAACTGCATGTAGTCTAAGTCTTTAAATTTAAAACACCAGTAAATCTATTTTAACTAATTTTTATTTCATGAATTGATAATAATTGTATTGCTAAAGCTGATTTTGGTCTATTTGATAACATAATATGCCTACAATTACTTCAGACAACTAAAGGGCAGTGATAATAGCTCAGGATCATCAACAGTTAAACTACCAGTGAAATGGATGGCATTAGAAAGTCTTCATGATGGACTGTTCTCTGAAAAATTAGATGTTGTAAGTATTCATTTGCCATTACACTCAATCATGCAATCATTAGTCTATCATTTTTTAATTTTAGTCTTATTTACAGTGGTCTTATGGTGTTTTGTTGGGAAAATTTCAGTCTTGGTAAGGTACCATATCCTGGTCTGGATCCAATAGGAGTAGTGGAGTTACTGGATACTGGAGGACGATTGCACTGTCCACATAATGGAGCCTGCTCACAGGAAATGTAAGAACATATTTTGTAACATTGCATAATGCATATAAAGTGATACCTCTATGTTGTTAGTTTCTTTTGCTCAATATTATGTTTTAGTAATAATCTCATTTTATTTTCATTATACACACTCCTTGATGATGCTCTGTTGGTGTGAGTCTCCAATTGATAGGCCAGTATTCAGTGATTTAGTTTCATCAATTGATAATCTCATTGAACCTTTAGCCGGCTGCCTTGATTTCACTCAAATTAATAACACTAAATAATATATAATCTAAGTTTTGTAAACTTTACAAAATTAATGGTATACAAACTATATGAGACTAACCCTCATGGAGTCTAGTTTAAACCTATTTTTTAAATTCCACTGGTATTACAGGCTAGGCTATTTTTAAATAAATAAATACTCGTGTTGTTGCATATTTTACTGAGTTATTGGTATTAGATCTATGCTTCTCTTCTCATTTAGATTTTAGTGCCTAATAGATTCTAGTTGAGAGAAATCTATCAATAATTTGTGGGTGTGGAGTCCATTGAGGAGCTAGGCCTACTGTCGATCATGTATCTCTTCAGACTGTTCTTGGTGTTAGATCTACTCTGTTGCATGTCAGTTATTTCTAATGGTAAATATTTCGTTTGTCTAAGATTGTTTGTCTATACCAAGCCAGGGCCATTCCCCAGGCACAGTTTTGTTAGGCCGGTTGTGGAAATCATGGGGGCTAGCGAACCTGGCTAATCAGGCACTAAGCAACTTGTTGCTAGCAACCAAGCCAAAAATTCTATTCTTGGGCCTCCATATGCATGTTGCTTACAAGATCAAAGTAACAACCAACAAATGTTACCAGCAACATGTTGCCTAGTGTATGCCTGGCTTAAGGCACTGACATTCTTGTTTTTTTATGCAGGTTGTTTTTATGGACAAATACGTCTTGTGAATGGAAGTGAATCTGAAAATTTAGGAAGACTGGAAATATGTCGTAATAACATATGGGAAGTAGTTTGTAATAATAACTGGTCATACACTAATGCTCAAGTAGTCTGCAGGCAATTGGGACACATGCACTGCTGATGGTAACTTTAATTAAAAATAGAGAGTGCTGGGTGATCATGTGCTATTTTCAATAGGTGCAACAATTTTTAATGAAACATATTTTGGTGCTGGAAATGGATCCATATTGCTAGATGATATTGTTTGTTCAGGATCAGAGAGCACTATACTTCAATGTACTCACTCAAGTGTTAGGTCTCATAACTGTGGTCCTAATGACACTGTTGGTGTACAGTGTGCAAAGTCTATTAATAATGTCTCTGTCTGTGATACTGAATTCAGTGACCAGCTCTGGGCTTTAATGAGGTATTTTTACTATCCTTTATTAGCTATACAATATGCACTTTCAATTAGGGCCAATGGAAAATGTGAACATTATTATAAAACAGACAAAGAGGGATTGTGTGATGATTTTTATGGTCCTGATGTTAGTTATGTGTACATTCCTAAGAGACGTGTCAATAATTCTCAGATTCGTTTGCGCAAGTTTTTTGAGGAAGCAAATGGGTATATTAATCAAGTACCAGTCAGCTGTCGTGACATTGTGAAAAAAGTTATGTGTACTCACTATTACTTGCCCTGTGGTTTTAATGGTACCCTGCATGTTCCACTACCTTTATGTCCTGATGTGTGTCAATATGTGTCAGAAGCACTGTGTCCTGATATTTGGTCACTTCTTGTTACCTTTCTTATTACCAACATTGCTGATCGGGAATACAGTAAATACACAGGAATGAAGTTACCAGTTTGTAATGATACTGACCAATTGATTGATTATTTAAAACTCTCTAATGACTGTTGTTCTGATGCAGGTGTTCTATTACCCAGACCAACTATCATAACAAGTAAATTGTTTATTGTTGAAAAAATAGATGATTGATAAACAATAGTAATTGATTTTAATTGTGAGAGTTACATCTAGGTACATTAAACATCTTCCTATAGTCATGGCCAATGCAACTACTCATACTATCCATACAAGAGAAACAAGAACAATAACAGATGTTACTATTTCTCATCCATCTGTTATTGATACCAGTGACACACCATCTGTCTTGAATCAACAAACATCTATTGTAATATCAGGAATAGTCACATTTCTATTTTTGTGTCTGGTAGTGCTTACTGTAATTCTCCTTGTTGTCTATATTATTATGAAGAGAAGGAATCATAAACAAAAATGGCAACTTACAATGGCAGAAATTTCAAAAAATCCTCTTAATTCTATTCCTTCTTCATGTAAGTAGACAATACTAAAATTGCTAATTCAAAACCAATTTTTGCCTGAAACTACCAGTATACATGTTTATTAATCATGGCATTGTGCATCATATTCTGAACATGTGTAAATCTATGCTCATCTATCTTTTTTAGTACTGCAAAGTGACAAAAAAGAAAACACACACAACTCTAGCAAACCAATTGAAATTTCATCTGAATATATGACACAGCTGTCAAACTATATAATACCAGGGTCAAATATAAGCATGCATGGGACAATTGGACAAGGTTGGCAGGGTTTTAAAGATCAATAATTGTTGTTTTATATTCTATAGGTGAGTTTGGTATAGTTTATCATGGAGTGATGACAATAGAGAATAAAATACCTGAACCAGTTGCCATAAAGACTTTAAAAAGTAATTATTGAGCAAATTGTAGTCTAATTACAGTGACCAAAATACAAAATGCAAATGTAATGTAAATTTTTTTGAAAAATTTTAAAATTTGCTCACAAATTTACTCATTTATTGCTTTGTTTTAGGTTTTTATAAAGAGAGCGACATTGAGTCCTTACTGGATGAGTGCATTATAATGATGTCATTCAATAATTTAAATGTATTGCCACTGATTGGTGTGTGTCTTGATCTTGGACCAGCTCCATACATTATCATGCCTTTCATGTCAAAAGGAAGTTTATTGTCTTACCTCAAGAAAGAGAGATGTAATCTTACAGTAGCTGATACCAGTGAAGAGGATATTATACTGAATGTCAGAAAACAGTTACTCTCCATTTGTTTACAAGTTGCCAATGGAATGTCTTACTTAGCTTCACAGAGGTTCATTCATCGTGATCTTGCTGCTAGAAACTGCATGTAAGAATTTCATTCCAACACCAATTTCTCATAAACACTTTCACTATCATCTGTTGTCATGCACCCTAATTTAAATAATAATTTGTCTTCCTTAAGTTATTATGACTTCTCTATTGCTAAATGGAATACCTGGTAGTTATTTTTGCATAAATAAATTTTATGCATAGGATTGATGATAATGGTGTTATCAAAGTAGCAGATTTTGGACTATCTGAAGACATATATGCCTGCAATTACTTCAGGCAACTAAAGGGCAGTGATAATAACTCAGGATCATCAACAGTTAAATTACCAGTGAAATGGATGGCATTAGAGAGCCTTCATGATGGACTGTTCTCTGAAAAATCAGATGTTGTAAGTGTTAACATTTTCATTACAATTTACAAGCAATGACTATCAATTTTTTATTGTATTTTTATTTACAGTGGTCTTATGGTGTTCTTTGTTGGGAAGTGTTTAGTCTTGGTAAGGTACCATATCCTGGTCTGGATCCAATAGGAGTAGTGGAGTTACTGGATACTGGTAAAAGATTGGAGCCTCCACGTAATGCAGCCTGCTCACAGGAAATGTAAGAACATTAACATGCTGCAATTAACCCATTGATGGTTATGTTGTACTTCCTTTAATGTAGTTACTTGCTGATGTTTTCCTGTTGGTCTGAGTCTTCTATTGATAGGCCAGTGTTCAGTGATTTGGTATCTTCAATAAAAGCACTCATTGAATCATTAACTTGTTGATTTTATATATACTGCATGACATGATATTAGTTGCATACATTGCATAGTAAAATAAATATGCACTTGTTCAATGTATATGTTTTTAGAAGATAACTGTAATTTGTTTTGATGTCATGCAGGCTTCTTTAAGGTGTGGTTAGTGCAGCTGAGGCCTGTTGCTTTTGGCTTCTACTGACTATCTACATCATGTTTCTCTTGGCTTTTTTTTCCTCTGCTTGGGTATTATCAGTAGCTTTTGGTAAGCTTTTGTTTTTAGTTTTAACATGTGTTAAAAACCTTTTGCTTAAAAATAGTGTAGAATTTGTTCTCTCTCAGTTGCCATAGATCTATATAGCTAAATTTTGTATTTTCAATTTGTCAAAACTTTTTCAATGTAGGTTGCTCACATGGTCAAGTACATCTAGTAAATGGAAGTGGTCCAAATGTGGGAAGACTAGAAATATGTATCAATGGAGATTGGGGAACTGTTTGTGATGATATGTGGTCACACACTAATGCTCAAGTAGTCTGTAGACAACTGGGATACTCTACTGATGGTAATTTTTAGGTCTACTTTCATTGCATCGATCTCTGTTTTTTATCTAGGTGCTGTATTTCTTGAGAAAGCATTCTTTGGTGCTGGGAATGGGTCCATATTATTAGATGACGTTGTTTGTTCAGGATCAGAAGATACAATACTTCAATGTAGGCACTCAAGTTTTGGGTCTCATAACTGTGTACATGATGAGGATGTAGGTGTGCATTGCTCAGAATCAGGTAATTAATTTCTAGCCTAGTATTATGATTCATCATGCATGCATGTTTTTGCTACTATTAGTAACTATAGAAGAATCTGTTGATAATGTCACAGTCTGCGATACTGAACTTGATGATCAGTTGTGGTCAGTGATGAGGTATAAGCATAACCATTACCTCATTAATGATTTTTAATATTATTGATTTTTTAGTACCAGTGGTAGCTGTGAGCCTTATATTAAAAGAGACTCTAAAGCTGGAATTTGTGATGACCTATATATTGCTTGGACTGATTATGTGTACATTCCAAACAGACGTCTTGGAGGCTCTCAAAATCTTTTAAGGCAATTCACAGAAGAACTTGATGAGTTAATTCCATCAATACCAGTCCGCTGTCGTGATATTGCTATTAGAATTCTGTGTACTCACTATTACTTGCCCTGTGGTTTTAATGGTACCCTGCATGTTCCACTACCTTTATGTCCTGATGTGTGCCGATACATGTCAGAAACATTGTGTCCTGATATCTGGCAATTTATTTCTAGTTCTTTTACCTCTGATCAAATTGATCTTGAATATAGAAATGACGAGGGAATTATACTGCCATCGTGTAACAATACTGATAAGCTAATTGATTTCTTGAATCTCACTAGTGACTGTTGCTCTAATGGACGTGTTTTGCTACCACAACCAACTGTCACAAAAACTGAAGGTAAAATTTCTAAATAAACAAATTTGTGTATGTGTAGTCATTACCATTGTGTAACGCTGTCTAATTAAGCTTTAAGTGCATAATAAACAAACAGCTGGTTTAATTAGTTTGTGTAAACCAGCTAAGTTTTAGATTGATTATTTTAAAAGCATGGTAATGACAACCTGCAGTTTTATAATTATTATTTAATTGCCATGATATGATTAAATAATTCCACAGGCAACAATGAAAACAGTACACCTGCTTCATCACATTACGTGTCAACAATACGGAACTCTATGCTCATTCCTAGTGGTGTCCCTTCATCTTCTTCAAATAAATTAACATCTGTTGTAGTGCCATTAACAGTCACTATTTCAGTATTGTTATTGATAGCATTCATTACTGTATCATCCATTATCTGTGTGATTAAGAGAACAATGATTAAGAAAAAGGAAATGATGCTGCATGCAATTTCAAAGCATCAACATGGCTCCAAGCCTTCATTTTGTAAGCTAACTATTCACAAAATTTTTGCACTTTCCTTTGAAATGAATTGCATGTCCCATCTAACGTTAGATTAAAATTTAATTGTGCTGAAACAAGCTAAAATTAAAGTCAAAATAATTAAGCACCCACACTATATCTGTAATGCTATCACTTAACTTTCTCATATGTCATGTATTTATACAATAGTTTCTGAAAGCAAACCGATTAATATTTCATCAAAGTACATGGATCAGTTATCAGATTATATAATATCAGGATCCTTCATTGAAATGCTAGAAACCATTGGACAAGGTTTGAGTAACATTGAAAATGATCACATCATTTTGTTTTTTGCTTTAGGTGAATTTGGTGTAGTTTATCGTGGTGTAATGGCTAATGATATTGAATTTCCAAAAGCAGTTGCTGTGAAAACATTAAAAAGTTAGTCAAAAATAACTCAACTCTGATGACTACATGTATTTGATGTTGTACTGACTTGCAGTAAAATAACAGATACTAATTGGGAAATTAGATCTGTTACATAATACCTGGTAATCATTTAACACTTGGAATATCCTGCATTAAAGTTTATATTTACTGTGTGCATGGAAGAACTGGGTATATTTTATTTAATTTTGCTATGCAGGTCAATGTGTGTATATTGTTATTATGAATGGTATTACTGTATGCATATTAGGTTTATGTAAGGAGAGCAATATTGATTCATTACTGGATGAGTGCATTATAATGATGTCATTTGATAATTTAAATGTATTACCACTGATTGGTGTGTGTCTTGATCTTGGACCAGCTCCATACATTATCATGCCTTTCATGTCAAGAGGAAGTTTATTGTCTTACCTCAAGAAAGAGAGGCCTAATCTTACAGTAGCTGATACCAGTGAAGAGGATATTATACTGAATGTCAGGAAACAGTTACTCTCCATTTGTTTACAAGTTGCCAATGGAATGTCTTACTTAGCTTCACAGAGGTTTGTTCATTGTGATCTTGCTGCTAGAAACTGCATGTAAGTTACATTAATGTACCTGTACATTATATGTTTTATATATCATAAATTTAGGTTTAAAGTTGATGTAATGGTCAAAATTGTGCATGTGGTTGATTTAACCTTTGATGTGAATCACGTTTTCAAATTGAGGCAAAAAATTGCCAAATTTTAATTGGACTCGTGTAGGCGGGTACTAAGCAGTTGGGTTGTCATTACCCGAGCCCACGCGTAGGCGTGGAAGCGAGGGTAAAGCAGTCGTCCTGTCAGTGTGTGTGTCCAAGCCAAATCTGTTTTCAAGCCTCTGCTGCTTTCTATTTGAGTTCTTAAGAGTCTTATAATCAACACTAGAGCTAGGAAAAGTTTGTTCCTATCAGCCTACTGCTTCATTTATCTTTTCCGCAGGAGCAAAACCTAACAAAGTTGTTGAACTTAGGTCGGCACTCGCACAACTCTTTCATCGTGAAAGGAATCATAGCAAAAAACTAATGAAGCAATAGAACAAAACTTTATCTTTTATTATAATGTAAGAAATTGCTCCAATCATCTTCGTTTTCAAGATATGAGAGCCCAAACATTCATACCTTGTGGCAAGGCTCTCTTCTTCAGAAGTAGCGGCCAGAGTCTTTAAACATCAGGGACTCAATAGACGTTTGTATGCAACAAATAGAACCTAACAATTATATGCTAAACTGTTTAAAACTCGAGAAAAACTAAAGCTTTCTTGACCACTTAGCCCACCATTACTCCATCACTGTGTGTGCGGGTGAGGGGATCCT